AGACCACAGTAATCAGACTGCAGAAAAATATTAATATAGCACCATAGGAATAGAGTGGTGTGCACACATTAACACTTGTGTGTGTAAAGCCAATTTTAAGTTTTGGATAGAATGAGGAAGAGTCTGATCCTACGTTAGATATTTATTGCAATCTGTGTTCCAGTTGGGGAGATTAACTCTTGCTGCTGACCCTGGTGACCATTGTGTCCAGTACAAAAAGTGATGGGAAGTCTAAAAGAGTTATCACAGGAACAGGAGGTGAAGTGGCCTGTTTTAAGTACAAATGTCTAAGAGGGATATACCCTTGTTTTGGAGTGATGTCCTACCATGTCTCTGGGACAAAGAGTAGGAAAGAGTAAGAAAAATGTCAACAAGACAAAGAAACTAAAAAAAAAAAAATCCCAAGAAGGGTCCTAACACTTCCCAACTCTATCCATTTTTTTAAAGGATTTTGCTTTAAATACACTGTAAAGTTACATACATTGTACAATTTGCCCTCTGTGCACTGCAATACATCTCGAAACACCGAAGCTAAAAATTCTTGATTTGCTTATACTGCAACACATGTTCAAGCTGGCCATGATTATCAGAGATCCATCTTCGGTCAATACATACAAGATCTTAGCAATGTTTAGCGGACATAGCAAGGCTGATTTACTAAAGGAGTTGAGAATTTCAACACAATACATTGTGTGGATACTCATTTTTATTATTATTTAATTATGTGAAAAGTAAGTTACTGTTTACTTTCTTCATCTGTACATGATCCCCCTTTGATTCTATCTCGGACCAAAGAATATACTAAACAAATGCCAAAGATACAAACAAATACTGAAAACGAATTGGTTCATCATAACATATATTATGAAAGTAAATTTCTCAATTAATAAATGCATCCAAAACAAAGCAACAATTTCCAGAGTGCACATGTCTATCTTCTGCACTTGGAAACACAGGTTGGAATATACTAATGCAGATCCCACTTGGGAAAAAATAGCCTAGGACAACTCTATACCATATAGTAAAAAACATCTTGGAGGTGTGCTGTTGAATTTTGCTATGATGTACACTGATTTTTAACAGATATGCAACAGACAAATGGATATAAACTACCTGTATAAACTGCTTTTCACGATTCTCTTTACAATTCTGTTAGAAGTAGGAAGTGGGCTTTAGTTTAACTAGGACAGTATGTACTACAATGGCTCAACAGCTAGGTTAGGTAAATAATATAGGCATAATGGCAAATCAGTACAGAGCAGGGAAAGAAGCAAATGGTACAAAGACCTGAATATATAAAATAAATGAAAAATAAAATGCAGAAACATTGACAATGTGAATAGTCAGTATTGACCTTCCTTAGTATTTAGTCTCTCGAGTGTCAGAGAATGCTAAATGCTTAATATATATTAATCCTACTACCTACATTAGACACATAGAGCCTTAAGGTAAGCTATATAATATATTGTTAGTTGGTACACAGGGCTAAGTTAAAATGGATTTTAAAAAACACAAAGTATTTTCGTGGCATACAGAAAACTCCTACTTTTCATTTTCTTCTGATGTTCCAGGGCTATCTGCCATACATCTCTCACCTCATTTCCCCCAATTCAAACATAATGATTGGTTTAGGTGAGATGGAACACCTGACCAAATATTACATCTCCACTAAAATACTTTTTAATGCCTGCTATTGTGTTATGAACCACTGCAATCCATATATTTGTGCGTTTCTAATAATTGTGGGATATTCAGAATATGTGATTAGTAATTATTATTATTATTATTATTATACAGTATTTATAAAGCGCCAATAGTTCGCTCAGCGCTGTACATTACAGAAGGGGACAGAACATGTGACAGAACAATACCAATACAATGCAACATGAGGGGATTGAGGGCCCTGCACTTTCGAGCTTACAATCTAGGAGGGAGGGGATGGTGGCACAGGAGGAGATAGCTGTGGGGGATGGAGTGGTAGGAAGAGTGGAGGAGGTCGGCAAGTTAGCAGGGGGTGGGGGGGTAGGCTTCCCTGAAGAGATGGGTTTTCAGGGTGCACCTAAAGGAGAGGAGGGTAGGTGATAATCTGATGGGTTGGGGCAGGGAGTTCCAGAGGATGGGTGACACCCTGGAGAAGTCCTGGAGGCGGGCATGGGAGGAGGAGACCAGGGAACTAGAGAGAAGGAGGTCTTGTGAGGAGCGGAGTGTGCGTGCTGGGTGGTACTTGGATATTAGGTCAGTGATGTAGTTCGGGGCAGTGTGGTGGACAGCTTTGTACGTCAGCGTTAGGATTTTGAATTTGATCCGTTGCGCAATTGGAAGCCAGTGGAGGGATTGGCAGAGGGGGGTGGCGAAGACGGAGCGGTTGGAAAGGTGAATGAGTCTGGCAGCAGTATTCAGGATCGACTGAAGCGGGGACAGCCAGTGGCAAGGCAGGCCAGTGAGGAGGGAGTTGCAGTAGTCGAATCGTGATATGATGAGGGAGTGGATGAGCTGTTTAGTGGTTTCTGGGGTTAGGAATGTGCGTATTTTGGCGATGTTGCGGATGGAGTCTGCACGAGTTTGTTAAAGATTGGACTTGGGGCTGAAAGGATAGGTTGGAGTCCAAAATGACACCAAGTACTCTGGCCTGCAGGGCGGGTTTGATGGTAGCGTTGTTGGATGTGACGGAGAAGTCAATGGGGGGTGGTGTCCGGGCTGGGGGGAAGACAAGAAACTCGGTTTTGGAGAGGTTCAGTTTAAGGAAGTGGAGCGACATCCAGTCTGATATGTCGCTCAGTAGGTGTGTGATTCGGGCTGAGACCAAGGGGGTGAGGTGGGGGGTTGAGAGATAGATTTGTGTGTCGTCGGCATAGAGGTGGTAGAGGTGGTAGTTGAAGCCGTGAGAGTGTATGAGTTGGCCAAGGGAGGAGGTATAGATGGAGAGCCTTGAGGGACCCCAACAGAGAGGGGGAGTGAGGGGGAGGTGGTAGCATTATAGGTAACGCTGAAGGAGCGTTGTGACAGGTAGGATGAGAGCCAGGAGAGAGAGCAGAATCTCTGAGGCCGAGGGAGTGTAGTTTTTTGAGGAGGAGGGGGTGGTCGACTGTGTCCAAGGCCGCAGAGAGGTCAAGGAATAGGAGCACTGAATAGTGGCCATTAGCTTTGGCGGTTAGCAGGTCGTTGGAGAGTTTGAGTAAGGCGGTTTCGGTGGAGTGTAGGGGACGGAAGCCGGACTGTAGGGGATCGAGGAGGTTGTTATCATTGAGGTGAGAGCATAGGCGGGTGTAGACTAGGCGCTCGAGGAGTTTAGATGTAAATGGGAGCAGGGAGATGGGTCTGACGTTGTTCGGGTCTTTGGGGTCCAGGGAGGGCTTTTTAAGTATGGGGGTGATGTGTGCATGTTTCAGAGGGGAGGGGAAAGTGCCGGAGGAGAGGGAGAGATTGAAGATGTGGTGAGAGAGCGTAGGATGGAGGGGGGGAGGTCGTAGGAGTTGTGAGGGGATAGGGTCGAGGGGGCAGGTGGTGAGGCGGGCATCAGAGAGGATCTTGGAGACTTCCTCGATGGTAGTAAGGTCAAAGGTGCGGAGTGTTGGGGGGGGGGGCTACACTATGAGGAATGTAGGGTGGGGTGGAAGTGGAGGTCAGAGCAGTGGTGGGGCCGTGGGAGAGGGGGGTGATGAGGGGGTAGCTGAGTGAGGGTGAAGGGGGTTGGAGAGAGTTTGAGCAGCGACGAAGTCCCTGCGGGTTATGTCGAGAGGGGGAGGGGGGATGAGGGGGTAGCTGTGTGAGAGGGGACGGGTTGAGAGGGCGTGTGAGTTGCGGCAATGTAATTGACACATTAATTTAACTGCAGAGGCAAACTAAGTGAAGTGGGGTTTAAAAAGGTCAACCATCTCTAGCAATGATCTACAGTTCGCACATATGCTGTGCATATGATCATCTGGAAAATGTAAGTTTCTCTAAATCTCAACTGCAAAAGGGCAGACAAACAGACAAGTACTGTTTATGGTCTAATAACTAGGGTGAAGTTTCTAACAGACTGGCATGTGAAATATAGAAACATATTGTTAGTGCTGACCACCCGCTACTTGCTCTGCATTTTCAATAAGATGTCACTTACAAGATTACTGTCTTCTGACGGGGGCAAAACTCACACCTTCTATTTTAGAATTCACCCTTCTGTTGCTATAAATTTCCATATTAACCATTAGCTGTTCAGATCTTCCTGTAGAAAATTAAGCATTGCAGGAACAGGATATGTTTCTTATCAGTGTTTACTTTCAGTCTATTTCTAATTTTTATTAAATAATGTTATTCCTGTACATGCTACTGTTGTACATACATAATAATTACATACATTTAAATTACAGGCTAACATTACAGCTTTAGTCCCCCAGTCACATCAATGCCAATTTTGAAATAGTGCGACTTACAGTGAAGTCGCATGATTTCAAAATCGGGCGACCTCCTGATTTCATTTGCGATTTGCAAGTCATCTGACACAGATGTCTATGCAAATCGCAACAAAAGTAGTGCATGCACTACTTTAGAAATTGTTGTGGCTCCAACCAAGTTGGGACCGCACTGATATGACTGTTCTAATAGCGGACAATAGGGTGCAACTTGGCATACGATTTGCAAGTCGCATGGCATGCAAATCGCATTCCAAGTTGCACCCGATGTGACTGGGGTGTAACATTACTTCAAGTAGCTGAACTAGGTTTAGGAGTGTGTGCAAAATCTGCCATTTTAAAGAAATATGGAGCGTCAGCATAGCTGTCACCACAGACTTCCAAAATGTTATCTCTGAAAATAACATAGTATAGGGGGGAGCACTATTTAAAAGTCCAATGACTGCTCATGAAATGTATCAACCTACAGTTTTTTACGCATGTCCAGAGCCTTCCTCAGAAGACAGTGGACTGACATGTAAGGAGAGCCAACTGTATGACCAATTAATGGAATTTTAGTATAATATGTTGTCCCTCTAAAACTTTATTTAGTTTTATCATTAGTTTCTTAACCTCCCTGGCGGTATTCCCGAGTGTAGCTCGGGGGTAAAGTTTCAGTACCACAAGCTGTAACCCCGAGCTACACTCGGGCTTACCATGCGGCGCTGCTCCACGATCCCTCGATCACTTACCTTGTCCTGCACTCCCGCGATGTCCCTCCTGCAGTGTCCCTGTCAATGTTATGCCAGCATCTGTCTTCTGGGTTCCATCCCCTGCGAGCGTCGGGACGTACGGGGGACGGAACGGCGGGAAATTTGAAAATGACAAAAAGTGACATTCACTAAAATCACATAGTATAACATTACTGTATCAAACCATTTCACATACATTTTGTCCCTACTGCTCTGTCCTGTGCCCTGCCTGCATTTTTACTGTTCTTTCTGCCTGGAAACTTAGAAAAGTCCATGGCGTCCAAAAAGCGTCCCTTTAGGTCAAAAGTGGTTTTAGACCAGCTAGAGAACAGTGATAGTAAATCAGAACCACTTGCGAAATTGAGTGATAATGATTTGTGGGGAAACTCGTCATCAGACAGTGAAAACGATTTTGCGACTTTGCTCAGTGATGTGCGAACTTGGCGCTATATTTCAAATTTCAGTGTTTTTGGTTTGATTATATTATTGAATTAAATTTATTATATTATTATTTTTTATGATTATTTATTAAATTATAATTTATGATTTCATGTTTCAAGTTTTATCCTACCCAGGATGTTTACTAGACTCTTTTTCGGACAGATTTCAGTGAGTTATTCCTAAAAATTACAGGCCTACAATAAAAAAAATACATATTTCCATGCAAAAAAATTTACCACTTTGAGCACAGAAATATGGACATAATCAAACCGCTAGGGAGGTTAATGGAATCCTGTACTGCATTTAAACATAGTGTAGCAACAGGTTTCCTTTAATGCTCCCTTCCTTGCAGTACATACTCATTTTCTGTTTCATTTTACCATTACGCCATCTCATCCCATTCCAGGATCAAGGAAAGAAGGCTGAGGCCTCTTTCTCTGCCCCCTTATGACAGTGCTATGCCAACCACCAGTGCTGTCGCATGAGAGGATTGGTTGTGAGTCATTTGCTTCTTCATAATTGGAAAAAACTGGGTGTATTCTTCTCTTCCAGTGGCTCAATGAAGCAGTGGGAAAGTGAAGGAAAGTTGAGTGTGTGCTTCTGAAAGGGGGGAATAAGAGCAAACCTGTTGCTTTGACCTAAATGGGCAAAGCAGAGGTTTTCTTTAAAGGCCTGGGTCCAGCTGTCATTAAAAAGAGACCCTGCATCAGAGGTGTGCATTGGTAAAGATTTTCTTTATGTTTGATTATGAGACCATACCATCCAACCTGTTTTCTTCACAGCACCATGGCAACAAAAGGTATTTGCATGTATGGTGTGCAGCAGATACCATTTTGTTCTTTACTGTACCAATGGACCCTTGTTCATTCAATAGGTATACTGCAGGCTGCTTAATTTCAACCCCCCTTGTTAAACAGAAAGCTTTCCCTGTACCTCCACCTCATGACAAGACAACCATATTGCAAATATTACAGCCACCCTAATCGCTGTGTAAACCTGATTGCTAATACATTACATAAATTGCAGCAGATATGACATTTATCACTCAAACAACTGTATGTATGTTCTGTATTTAGGAACAAGACCTAAGATACCAGATTCCTTTGACAAAAACCTTTTTTTATTTAGCAATGGCCTGACAGCTCAAGCCTCAACCAATCTTACTGTATATGCTTGAGTAGTGCTGTACCACTTTGACATTCAGCCTGGTTATAAAACTGGGCAGATGCCCATTTCATCCTTTCTTCTATCTAATGTATCTAGCAGTGGATAGAATATTCCCTCACATATTCAGAAGACTGTGAAGAATGACCTACAGACAATCATTCTGGCGCACACATCACAGAACTTTGGTTTCTTCAAATAATGATCCTTGAATTTGTGGGGTTTGTCATTAACAGGACGGGGTGGCTCTGGAGGAGGTTCATCATTGACTTCTTCTTCTTCATCATCTTCTGAGTCATAAATATAGTAAATAATTGGGCCCGAGTTGGGCAGCTCGCCATTTGGCTGAGTCTCTGGGCTTGGAGACTGGGGCTCATTTTCTTTCTTCTTTTTTTTGAACATTTCCTTCAGCTTCTGAACCTGAAACAGATAGTTACACATTAGAAGAATTATGTCATGAATAGTAATGTTAGCTTTGAAAGATGCTCATAATATAGCTTATAAGACAAAATAAAGTTGGCGGTCAGATAGAGATATATTTGGTCATTGACTATGGAAACTGGATGCAGGACACTAAAGCAGCTTGGCAGTACATGTGAGTACAAGGCAGTATCAAGGTGATACAATGAATTAGATAATCAAGTGTATCCTTGAGCTAGATCAAATGAATTTTACAGTTGAGTCGATTAACTAAAGAATGGTGGCTGTTTAGCCAGAAAAATGAATAAAGGAATTTTGCTAGCATATAATTGGTTGGCTGAGATGAACACAGCTTTGCCTAATTTACTAACATTAACTTTGCAAAATAAAACATACTTTGGAAAGTGAACAGCTTGGCTTCCTTAGTAAATCAACCACATTTTGGTAATTGAAGATGTCATATAAAATGACTCATAATAAACAAATCTGATTTAAACATCACCCTGTGACTTGCAAATCTTCACAGTCCTGTGATGTCACCTTTCTTTTACACGTGATACTGTGGGGTTGGAAGAAAAAAGGTATGTACCTAGTGTTTATTAGGTACTTAGCTTCCCTATAACTATACAACTATAAAGAATTATGTTGTATTATAGTAGGGACATGTTTTTTAATTTCTAATTGTAATAATCAATCAAACTATGATTTGTAATGATTGGTAGTATTGCAGTGCAAGAGAGCAAGACAACCTTCATGCACTCTACTTAGACACTTCACAGATAAAAGATTAAAGATAAAAAAAAAAATGAGGACACATTTTGATTATATAATTTAGCTTTACCTGAATTTAATGCATGTACATAAACATGTCAATATTTAAATAAAAAAAATATATTGACAGACTATAGTTTCCCTTTAAATACCCATTCCATCAATTTTCATGGTGAAAAGTTTAGCTAAACATACCTTACACATGCAGAATACTAATATTTTTTAAATTGCTCACACAGCACAAAAATGAAATTTGAATACTTCCAAAGAGGTGTTTTTGAAGACTTGGTATAGGAAGTAAAAGAAATATCAACCCTGCAATTTTGTTTTTATTCCCAGCCTTTCAAACCCATATTTTGCTGTACGATGAAGAAGCCTTTCTAAATACTATTGATGCAATGTTTTTTAACAAGTACTGCTACGGAGTTTGACAAATATCAGATAAATACTGTGTTATTACTAAGCATCAGTTTGATTAGCAACACAATTGGTTTAGTTCAGCAATAAATATTGCAAAGGAAGGATGTAGTCATAGGAACCAACTTTGCAGTCACTTTTGTTAATGTATTCATGGTACATGGTGTATATTTAGGGCATTCACTTATAAATAACAACATGCTCACATAAATAACACAATTGATGCTGAATTGAGTTTCTTTGACTAATTTTATTTTCTTTGGGGAAGAGGTTAAATTGTTTCAATTCACTTAATAAATACCAGCTGCAAATGTTTATTTAAAGAATCTAAATTCAAATTCCAGCACATTTTCAGAAGAAAGGATAACACAACTGGTTCCTAACAATTAATTATATTGACAGGCGGGTTCAAAATATTCCATATGGTCAATTAAAAAGCATAAAAACACATTGTACAAGATATCAGGACTGTGGAATGCAGGCAAATATTTACTTGGCTAGGCAGCTGATCACAGACACTGACAGATGCTATGAAAGGCAAAGAATTGTAATATGGAAAATTGTTTAAAAATACTATCATTAACTGTAAAAAAAATGTTCAACCTTAAGAATAACTAATGCAATAGATCCTGGAAATATTAATTAAAAGGTTTTATAACAGTTATCTTAGTGCTTCATAAAAAACAAAAACAAAAAACAACTAAATAAGATAGTTATATTTTGGAGATGACTTTAGAGATTCAATAGTGCTTAGATGCCAAGTAAATGTTCACCCAATTTGAACCAATCCACAGTAAAACTAGAAACAGTACTAACCTAGGAGAAGATGGCAAAATGCACATAAATAAATACATATCTCCAAAATAAACCTTTTGCACATAATTGAGATTGGATGATTGCCTGATTTTACTGCTTCAAATGAGTCACCGTGTATCAAAAAGTACATTGTAATGAGCATGTCCCACAAGCAATCCTGTCGCTGGCAAATTGTCACTAACAGGAATACTCGCTAGCCATTCCAGCAACAAGTTGCTCCCATGTTATCCAGGGAGATTTGGCAGCATTCAGGGCCAGCATAGAAGCCATTCCATAGAGGTAGGTGGAAGCCCCTATCAGGTCATTCTGCTGCTGGCAATGTGTCACCAACAGCATAATGGCTCAGAGTCTGGAATACACAGGGTAGAAGATTTCTATCAGTTCCACATTATGAAAACATTAGCTAGGAGCTGCTGTACTGCAGTCTAAACTTTGTTTTGTTCAGTGGGGCATTATAATCTCTAATTGTTGGTGTCCCCATTGGAGAGATTTCTCTTCAGAGCTGGTTCACATATATGCAGATTGGATGCGGTTTGACTTGCATCCAATCTGCATTACTTGTGAAACAACATTGCTTCCTATGGTGCCTGTTCACAAACATCCAGTGCACTGGCAGTACAGATTCAGTGTGGATTGAAAAAGAGTCATGTCCGATTTCTGAGCAGTGGACACAGGCACAATTTCAGATTTTTTCAGGTATTGATCAAAACATATTCAAGCTATAGTTATATAATGGGTATGGGCTGAAAGTGCACACGTCAGGTTAAATTTGAGGGTATGTACATCCAAATTGGAGGAAGGGTTTAGGAATTGCAGCTCTTAAGAGTAGCCCCCCCACCCTTTTTCAAGGGACCAAAAATAATTGGACAATTAAATAAAAAGCTGTTTCATAGCCAGGTGTGGGCTACTCTTTTATTTCTTCATCAACTAAGCAGGTAAAAGGTCTAGATTTGATGCTAAGTGTGGTATTTGCATTGGAATCTATTGCTGTGAACCTACATCATGCGTTCAAAGGAACTGTCCATGCAAGCGAAACAGGCTACTGTAAGACCTCAAAAATTAAACAAATCCATCAGAGAGATAGCAGCAACATTAGGAGTGGCCAAATCAAGAGTTTGGTACATTCTGAGGGAAGAAGAACTCACTGGTGAGCTCAGTAACATAAAAAG